CCAATATTTGAAACTAGGATTTGATTGTAATTTTCATAAACCCAAGGGTGTCAAAATATATTTCAACATAACTCCACTCTATCTTATATTAGATGCTTTCTCCTTTCTTCTCCTGTATGTTGTTAGTTTTAGGGTTTCAATTCACTGTCAATTGCCAGCCATGGATAAGAGCCGATACTGCTGCTTCAGCTTCCACACGCAAACGGACACCTTTCATAGGTGCATTGTGTTCATGATTTGCAACAGTACTAGTTTACAGCCTGAATTGCCATAACAGGGAATTTAAAAAAAAAAAAAATCAAATTCCATTCCGTGGTCGTGATTTGCACTACTATTAGGTTGATGGTTGTGTTGTGCGAAGAGATGAAAAACAATGAAGTTGAGATAATGATTATAGGTTCAGTATCAAAATTGAATTAAATGGGTAGAAATCTAGTTGAGTGAATTCATAATAATAGATATTGTTGAGTTAGTTTGAGCATTTTTAAGCTTGATAAGGATATGAATGATGGGATCAGGTGAAGTATGGGTTGAAGGATAAATTTTTATTTATTGGTGTGGGAAAATAATTTTTTTCTTTCAAATTCAAAATTTCTCTGGATGTTAATGGAAATTTGTCTGTTTAGCTGAAAAGAATTGACCTTGAAGTTGATTATTATTATGAGATGTTGCAATTAATAAATTGGTAATGATCTGCTGTGATGGCTAATTTAAACTAGGGGTGGTGTGGAGGATTGGAAACAATTGGCTTCTGGCTATGAAAAATCTTTATGGTTTGTTTTCCTTATTGTGGAAGGCACTGAAAGCAATAAAATCTTTATTGGATTCAGATTTGTTTCCTAAATTGAGGATTTTTTATGGCATTTTGGAAGCATACTAACCTCTTTGTTCATCCTGGTTTGTTTGAACAGTGAAAATGGAAGAGAATGAGAATGAGACAGTGCTGGTGCTAGTGCCCCTGGGAGGAACTTCGTTGCCGTAGACAGGACGGGAAAGGATGGCATTTCAGAGGATGGAGAATTCACAAGAAGTCCCTTTGGCAGTATCACTTTCCCTACCAACACAATATTAAACTACAAAAGCAAGAAAATCCATGCAAAGAAGACGAAAATATGGCCATGTTGAATCAACAGGGACTCCTTCATAGGTGGGATTGTGTTTGTTTAGCTCATAGAATTCTCATGGATGCTGGTCCTGATTTCCCAGAAGCCATGATACTATTGAGTTGTTCTTTTCGCAAGGCATGTTTCTTCGTTTCCTCTTACATTTGTTTTATGTCTGCAATTTATTTGTTCTTACATCTTGTATATGAATTTGAGTGTCTTTCTAAGGGGCAAGTGCTTGTACTGAAATTTTACTTTACTGTCTCCACTCCTCTTATGATGCAGATTCACAGTTTCTTTGCCATCAAACCTCCCACCCAACACAGGTGAATCAACAAAATCAAGTAGATGGTAGAAGTTAGAGAAAATCAAATTCCATCAAAAGTCCTATACTTGTTGTTTGCAGCGCGCATAGTCAATCCTTGTGGGAATTTTAAAAAATCAAATTCCATACTGTGTTCATGATTCGCACTACTATTAAGCTGATGGTTGTATGAAACACAATGGTTTGCGATAATGATCATAGCTTCAATACCAAAATTGACTGAATTCATAATAATAGATATTGTTGAGTTAGTTTGAGCATTCTTAAGATTGATAAGGATATGAATGATGGGATCGGGTGAATTGTCTGGATGTTAATGGAAACTTGTTTATTTAGCTGAAAGAATTGACCTTGAAGTTGATTATTATTATGAGATGTTGCAATCATTAAATTGGTCATGATTTGCAGTGATAGCTAATTTAAACTGCCTGTGGTAGTGTAGAGGATTGGAAACAATTGGCTTGTGGTTATGAAAAATAGCCGAAGTGATATCAATATAGACTGGTATATCAATTATAGATATTATTATATCAATTGTGAATAGATCACTTATGGTGTAAAGTGCCAATTGGAAGCAGAGAGATATTTCCTCCACCAGCTTGTTGGCTACTTGGCTCATCTCTGAATGTAAGTGTTCCTTCTGCCCTCTTCAGTTTTAAGTTCTAATTCAATTAATTGCATTTTAGCACTTGTTTTTTATCCATAATATATATGGTCCCTATCTGTATAAAAGAAAAGACTACTAAGCAATTTTTTGTTGCATTCTTTTATAGTTTGTTTTCCTTATTCTGAAAGCAATAGCATCTTTATTGGATTCAGATTTCTTTCCTAAATTGAGGATTTTTAAAGGCAGTTTGGAAGCATAAGATTCTTAAATGGAAAAACGTTGGATAAAATAGTTACAGTACTCTTGTATATAAATTTTATGCTCTTATTGATTTCCACATTCATATACAGAATGTTTTTAAAAAAATTGCTTTATCTCTGCAGGTTAGCTACTCGAAGAGCCTTTGTCCCCAATGTGATAGTAGTTTTCTAAAAATGCTGTATTATGTTTAAAGGGATGATGGTAGCATATCAGCACAAGGCCGAGTGTTGACAAGCTGTGATCTGCAGGTGCTGCCACAAGCAGTTCTGGTCCAAACCGGGATCAACCTAGTCATGCAGCCAAAGTCCGGTGGCAATTGCTTTAATTTAATTTTTGGATTAACTCTTTGATGTGGGATTGTTTTTATTTTACTCATAGAGTTCTTCTAGATGCTGGCCATGATAATATTGAGCCGCTCTCAGTTTTTCCAAATTTTGCTATTGACCGTCCATCATTGGTTTCATGAGGCAAGCTTCTTTTTCCTCTTTCCACTTGTTTTGTCTTGTCTGTAATTGGTCTAGTCTGATGTTCTCATAAGGATTTTATTCTTTCTAATTTGTTTTTGATTCGGCATAGATTTGATTTACTCTGATTTTATGCATCCATTCTTTTGGTTCATGTATATTTTAAGTGATCATTTTGTCTCCTTAGAAACCTTGACTAAAGGGTTATCCTCAGTCTATGCCATTAAACCTACATATTTTTCCTAGGAGTGGCTGCGCCGTCAAACAGTGAGTCACCGCTAAAGTGAAGGACTTGAAAAATTAAGGGTGCGTTTGATTTATTATTTTGGATAAAATTTTGAGAATACTATTGGGTAATTGAATAGGGGAGTATTACGAGGTAAAATTTAAAAATTTCTAAAAAACCCCCTATGTTTGCTAATTTAATTAAACATCCCAATATATAAAAATTGTGTAAAATGACAAAAATACTCCTACCACCTGCAGTGCCAGATTCCAACCACCACCGTCGGAATCTGGTCGAAAAATTGCGTTACTACACAGACCAGTCGGATCTGTGTCGTAACGCATCGATACGGCCTTTTCCGACCAGATCCACCACAGATATGGCCGAAAAAGGCCAGATCTACGACCAGATGTGGTCGTCGACTGTCACAAAGGTCCATCTTTGGCCGTCAGTGACAACCAAAGATATAGTTGTCATTGTCGGTCGATTTGGCTGTCGTTGACCATCAACGACGGCTATTTCTTTGACCATCACTCACGACCAGATCTAGCCGAAAAAGGTCAAATCGGTGAATAACCGGCCATTTCCGGTCGTGGTATAAGTCGTTGTGACAGAATCCACTGGAATCTGGCAAGTATGGGTGGGTGGGGGTGTTTTTGCTAATTTTTTAACTTTTTTCTGGGGGTTTTATGAAATTAATAAACTTAAAGGGTTTAAAAATAATTAAAAAAATACACTAATATTTCTCAAATAATGTGTCAAACAATATTTGGGGAATAGGATTGGGAATATGGGTAGAAACATTGAACCAAACGCACCCTAAATTTCATCAAATCTGAAATTTCCTCGCGTTATGTAGAAGGGTGAAAAAAATTAGGATTGCAATTATGGCGATCTTAGAAAAGATGGAAACAGTAAATGATTTCGTGATGAACTTGGTTAATGTGAATTTAAATTGCATTGTCGAGCAGTGTTGGGATGAGATGGAGTAGATATATGTTATAAGAACTATCATGGCAAAAGAAACTATAATTTTTGAGCTTGTGATGGATTTTGGTATATGTGCATTACTAAAATAGGTTTTTAGTGAATTCTAATAATTGATGTTGTTGAGTTTGTTTGAGCAATTTTAAGCTTGATGAGGAGAGGAATGATTGGATCAGGTGAAGTATGGATTGAAAGACTTACCTTGAAGTTGATCATGATAATCACATGAGGGATGTTGCAATGTTTAATGCAAGCTGACTCTACTGGCATTCTTGGATCCTGTAGTCTCGACAAGCTTGTTGGCTCTAGTGAGATTCAAAAGTTATGAAAGTTTAATGCTATTGAGAGTTCTCTAATTTAGGGGATAATTTGAAACTGTATGATCTCTCCTCTTAGGAGAGTCGTTATTTGGCTGAAATTTGGCATTATCTTAACATGTTTTGTTTACCATAATATTTTCTCTGCCCATCTTTGCTGGATGGCCACTGGAAAATCATTTATCTATCAGTATAATGACTTCAGAATCTTACCATAGTATGTTTGTACAAATGTAACAACTCGGAGTTGATTATAAGACTTAAATTCAAATAATGACTATGTTATAGGGTTATCATGTGCTATGGCTCAGGGAATTTGTCCTAATCATGAAAAAAGTAATTTTCTAAACTTGAAAGAAATAATTCCTATAGAATATGAACTTTGTTTTAATTTTTAATATATTTAATATACCATTTGAAAACTATTCATGTCGATGAATTTGAAAAAAAAAAAATATATATATATATATTTGTTTATTTGTTTTACATTAATTCTGTAATTGAATAAATTAATAAATATTAAGAAGATATTTTTAATAATCTTTTACTTTCAAGAAAATATTAATAAGTGCTTTAGGCCCACATTTGCAAGAGGCAAACAAAAGGCAATTGCAAAGAGCCCATAAAAAAAGATTAAATTAAAGGAATTAAAAACGTGAAAAAGAATTAGAACTTGCATTACTGAAAATGAAGATGATGAAAGATGGCCCTTTAATCATCTCACTTAACATAAGGAACATGAGCTGCAAAGAAAATTAATGTGAAAGAATCGCTGCAAAGTAAGGCCTTAACGAATACACGAAAATGAAATTGAATTTAGTTTCTTAAGATTTGAGACGTTTTTTGATTTCTGAAAGTGCATTCCAGGATGCTCTTCTCATGAAGATGAATTTCGTAAACTACAGACTTCCAACTCAGGTTTCTCAGAACACTTATCCACAGTAAATTACTACTTTCTGAGCAATAATATCAATACTTCCCCTGTCACCTGTTGAAGCTAAACTTAGCACACGATGTCAATTGATAAATTAACTGAAAAATGATATCAATATATGGTTAGGAATCTATTCTGGAAAAGTAGAAGTTGAACACTCAGTAGTCAATTCACAAACTTGCAGTTTCTTAATAACCTTTAGAGATTTGTCAAGATTTCCTGAGAGAGCCCTCAAAAGGGAAGTCTTCCCACAACCTGGGGAATCAAGCAGAAGAGTTATCCTGAAATAATAAAAGAGGAGACAATGAGGTAAATAGAAATACAGGATTTGGCAAGAAAGTATTATTTGACTTCTGGAATCACACTCCAAAGGAAAAAGAGTTAAAAACATAATTGTATATTATACGATTGACAAAAGTATCCTAAGGAATGAAATCAATTAACCTTTTGGACTGATATGGCTCCATGGTTGTGACTGAGTCCAACAGGTTTACAGATTACATCTACAAATATAGTCTCCGATATCTTTTAGTGTTTGCCAGCAACTAGTAGAAAGATATATCCCAATCAAAAGAAGATTTGTACAAAACGCTTATTTCCCAAGTCATAGTGGTGGAGGAGCAGAGATAAAGAATAGATACAATAGCAGGAATAGAGAAAATATCAAAACCAAAACTTAATGGAAAGTGATACCTGTGTATGTGTTCCTTGCTTCAAGCAGTAGCCAAGAAACAAGCTTTCAGTTTGATTTTCTTAGTGATTGAGGATAATGAAGTCAACATTTATACATAGCAAGATTTCCTAATGACATTTAAAAAATGAAATGAGATGTTTTTGTAGACAAAGATAAAAGTAAATCTGTTGTATAAAGAAGCAAATATAACATCATATCAGCAACTCAATTGTTTAATAGGAGATGGAAGAAAATTTAAATTGATGTTATTGGAGAATGAAAGTCTAAGACCATGCACAATAACTAATTGAAAAAAATACAACAAAATTTCAGTTGTTGGGTTTTGGCCAAAGAGGCAGGAAAATTATCCATGCTATCCCTCAAAGACTTATGAATCATTCGAAGTTCAGCATAGCCTCGGTTTGATTTCAAGAAGCTTCCTGTGGCTAAATGAGCTAAGAATCTCTGTGGCAATTTTTTGGCCATATTGGGCAATGTCATAAACCAGTTATGTTTTCTCTCCCAAGGTAAGTAGGCTGCATTTGTCAGGATCAAATACAATTCCCAAATACAGTAAATCAATATATTAGTTGCCAAAGTTTGAACTTCAGACACCTATGAGCACATATAGTAAAGTTGAGCATTGGCTAAATAATGTTTGTTCAAAAAAATCCATATAGGTCAAAGGTGATAAAGTTCAAAAATGTCAACTACAAAGTTTAATTAGTGACTGATGGCATGCAAGAAACATAAAAAGTATATAAGATTTAATTTTGTTTTTAATATCCAAGTTCTTACAGAGATATTAAATGTGATGCTTTTATGATGCCCTTTTTTAAATCAATTCAATCCTTAGCTATCTGGGCGTGAGAATCTTATTGGATATGCTTGATAGTTTTAAGTACTCTTTCATAGGATCCTGAAGCATGAGATTCAAGAGTTATGAAAGTTTAATGCTATTGAAAGTTTTCTAATTTAGGGGATAATTTGAAACTCTATGATCTCTCCTCTTAGCCGTGAATTGATTAGGAGAGTTGTTATTTTTAATAATATTTTATTTTTAAGAAAATAATAATCATATATGTGAAAGAGAAATGCTATAATTGCATAGTCAAGTGTTAGGCTGACTCATGCTTTAGGGCCACATTTGCAATAAGCAAACAAAAGGCAATTGTAAAGAGCCAATAAAAAAAGATTAAATTAAAGGAATTAAAAAAGTGAAAAAGAATCTGAACTTGTGTTACCGAAAATGAAGAAGATGAAAAAGACATTGATGCAACCTGTGGAATCAAGCAGAAGAGTTATCCTGAAATAATAAAAGAGGAGACAATGAGGCAAATAGAAATACAGGAATTAGTAAGAAAGTATTATTTGATTTCTAGAATCACACTCTAAAGGAAAATGAGTTAAATACAGAATTGTATATTATACGATTGACAAAAGTATCCTAAGGAATGAAATCAATTAACATTTTGGAGTGATATGGCTCCATGGTTGTGACCGAGTCCAACAGGTTTACAGATTACATCTATAATGTAGTCTCCGATATCTTTTAGTATTTGCCAGCAACCTATAGAAAGACATATCCCAATCAAAAGAAGAATTGTACAAAATGCTTATTTCCCAAGTCACAGTGGAGGAGGAGCAGAGATAAAGAATACATACAATAGTAGGAATAGAGAAAATATCAAAACCAAAACTTCATGGAAAATGATACCTGTTTATGTGTTCCTTGCTTCAAGCAGTAGCCAAGAAACAAGCTTTCATCTTGATTTTCTTAGCGATTGAGGATAATGAAGTCAACATTTATACATAGCAAGATTTCCTAATGCCATTTAAAAAATGAAATGAGATGTTTTTGTAGACAAAGATAAAAGTAAATCTGTTGTATAAAGAAGCAAATATATCATCACATCAGCAACTCAATTGTTTAATAGGAGATGGAAGAAAATTTAAATTAATGTTATTGGAGAATGAAAGTCTAAGAGCATGCACAATAACTAATTGAAAAAATACAACAAAATTTCAGTTGTTGGGTTTTGGCCAAAGAGGCAGGAAAATTATCCATGCTATCCCTCAAAGACTTATGAAAAACTAACTTTAGTAAAGCCTATCATTCGAAGTTCAGCATAGCCTCTGTTCGATTTCAAGAAGCTTCCTGTGGCTGAATGAGCTAAGAATCTCTGTGGCAATTGCCATATTGGGCAATGTCATAAACCAGTTATGTTTTCTCTCCCAAAGTAAGTAGGCTGCATTTGTCAGGATCAAGTACAATTCCTAATAACAACAAATCACTATATTAGTGGCCAAAGTTTGAACTTCCGACACCTATGAGCACATATAGTAAAGTTGAGCATTGACTAAATAATGTTTGTTCAAAAGAATCCATATAGGACAAAGGTGATAAAGTTCAAAAATCTCTTGAACTACAAACTTCAATTAGTGACTGATGGCATGCAAGAACATAAAAAAGTGGCAATCAGAACCCCAAAGACTTATACTAAGATGACTAAGAGATAAGCATATTAATTGATTTACATATTTCTTCTGAATCACGCACTTGCAGCATATTCAAGCACACCATTGGTCCGTTTTAACATTCTCACAATCATGTGTACTCTGAAGTTATGATTTTCTCACTTCTATCCTCCATATTTTTATCTATTGTACTCTATTAATTTTTAAACAATTTTTACCATAGCTCCTTATTGCCACTGTTGAGACATATGACCGAAATGAAGAAAGGAGCAGCACAAAATTACTTATTGGCAATAACCCAAAATTTATAATCATGCCATTGCCCCCCTTCAACATCTTCACCCCCACTACACTTAGTAGTAAATTCACAAAATTGCAGTTCCCTAATAACCAAAAACTCTGCTTTGCTAGTCATGGTCAGCCTCACCCAGTCGTAAATTCATACAGTAGTCAATTCCAACAGTTAATGAAGATCCTTAAACTTTAATGTCACATACCCTAAAGGGTTAAAGGGTTTCACTTTTACTACCACTACACATCAAAGCCCCAAACCATGCAGAACCCAAACCAACGAAAAAACTTTAAACAGTTGTGCGTTGTATACGAATATAAGATCAGCATCTAACATGCATTTCCATTTCTAGCTTTTCGGACCACAAAAGCTTTGACCAAAATGAAAAACAACCCAAAAAGAATAAGAACAAAAAAAAAAAGCTTTAAAAAGAAACAAGACTACAAGAGAAGGACAAGCTTTAAACATACATCGAGTCCCTACTCGAACACCTCTCCTCTACTGAGCTCATAACTGACTAAGCCTAAAAGCCCAACAAAAACAAGACTTTTATAAGCTAAGGTATCCATCATTAGATCAACAAATCTTATATATAAGAATAGTCTTAAAACAAAGTCCATCCAAATCATCCTATCATTAAGAGAATAGTCTCACGAGTTTCAATCATGTAACCTTAACATGCAACGCACACATACTTAAAATTCTACAGTTATCAATTTCAATAAAACCACCAGCTACATTGTCTAATTATTGGTATAATTATTTTTATAGCAAACTATTAGAACTTATAATATATTCAAAAGCAAATTTCTAAAAATATAAACAGTTTATTTCCATATCAATACGCTATCAAATTATTACTTGCGCAAGTTGAGATACAATTTAAACCGTACCAGATTTTTTTCCAGATAAATATATTCAGAAGCCATTCAATGTATTTGCACTTCATGATCCTTGTTGCACCTCTACTAAATCGGATCAAGTAATCTAGCAACAAAACACAAAAATCACATTTTTCAAACAACTTTTCAAGCAAATCACGCTTTAAGACTGCAACTTCACAGATGAACACATTGTGTTCACCTGTCGCCTAGAACCCAGACAAATACGGCGTCAGTTTTCAACTTCAAATCTGCTTGAAGCGTAATCAACATCATTTTGCACTAATTTCACCGATCGTTGGAACAGATTTGGGAACAACTTGGCAATCTCATCTGTGAAATTGAAAAATTAACAAATATTCATACATATGTTCTATTAGGTTTAATAATCAGTATTTGAAACGATGAAAATGACCTAAATTGCCGGCGGATGAACTGGCGAGACCGTCGACGATTTTGAAAGGGTTACAGAAAACGGAAGCGAGAGGACGCGCGTGGTCCATAGGACTCGTTTGAAATTGCCTGTAAACTGAAGCCATGCAGTCGGATACTAGAGAGGACTTGACTGCAGCCGGATATCGCCGTTAGCCACCAATGAAAGAGACACCTAACTCTGTCACGGAGCAGCTGATATCACCACTGTTAGATTTAGTGTTTAATTAATATTATAGTTAACCTTATAATTTCTTAAAATATATACCCCAAAATCTATAAAATCAATTGAATTTCCGAAGTCAACTTATATAAATTCTTTTGAATTATGTTTAAAAAGAAATGTCAACTCATCTAATACCACACACTTACCACATGACTTTGCTGTGTGTTGATGAACATTACAATTTCCTTTCTAACTAATAATATAATCAACCTCATCATCATCATCATCATCATCATCATCTTCTTCTTCTTCTTCCTCATTATAATCTTCATCATCATCATCATCATCATCTTCTTCTTCTTCTAATCTTTTCCATAAGTCTAAACAATCTATAATCATAAAGAACAAAAATTCAATAGTAAAATAAAAAATTGTAGAGAAAATGGATCATAATTTATCAATTAAACAAGAAAATAAGGAATTTCCTCAACATCTACTTTAATATATGCTTCAAATTAAAAACACATATAAATTAACTTTAAGGAAACATAAATTATAATATTGTAGCTTCTCTATATATACTTATAGTCTATAATTGATTCACTTGGAAGATTTTAATTAAAGGCAAAATTAATATTAAAGACTATTGAGGATTGACTAGTATTAATTCAAATGAAGGAGAACAAAAAAGTCTGCGATAAAAAAATATATTGTTAAGTAAATGAATACTTACCATTTTGTAATAGTTGTATGATCGTATCAATGCCACTCTTCAAACAATCTTTACAGTTCAACTCTCGCAACCTTGGCATGCTTAAGCCTCCCCCAAAGAAAGTTTTCATTTTGAAGCATCCACTCACATATAATCTTCCTAAATTTAGGAATTTTAAGATGTAATTCCCATAACATAAACATGTAAGACTTTCTAAATTATCCAAGGTCAACGTATTCAATTTCTCAAAAACAACTTCATATTTCTCTATATTTCTCTCATTTGCCAATACTTCTATCATCATTTCACAGCTTTGTATTGACAACTCTTCTAATTGCACCAGACTTTTGGCTCTTGACGATGACATTAAGTTTTGCATTCCATTGCAATAGCTTACCCTCAAAGTCCTCAGTTTTTCAAAAGATACTAAAGTTGGCAACAAAGTAGTCAAATTGTGACAATATTGCACCGCCAAACTATCAAGATTTTGAAGAATTAAGTTCAATCGAGAGTCTTGTTTTGAAATGCACTTTAAATTTAAAAGTCCCTGCAATTCTACATCTTTTAATTTCGTGAGTGCTCCAGCATGTTCTTTGTCCTTTCCAAATGAGAATATCTCTTCATATGAACTCACTTTCAATATGAGTTTTTCAAGATTGTTAAATTTGTGAAGGATTTGAATTGGAACATTGGTATATTCATCATTAATCAATTGAAGAGTTTTTACTTTGCCAAAGCTCTCTTGAAACGCTCCTTCCCAAATCGACATGACGTCCCTTCCACTTAATGTCAATTCCTCTAAATTGGAGACAACCTAAAGAAAAATATGTCAATCAAATTAAAATTAATATTTCCCTTAAAAAATATATATAATAATTATATATATATATATATATATAATTAAGCAAGAAAAAGATATTCATTTAACTTTTTTTTTTTTTCCTTACGATTACCATGTAATTAGTCCAATTGCTTTATTGGGCCACCTATAACCCTTGAATCAGAATTAAAAAAAGTTAACCTGGGGGCTGAAATTGATACCTCTAATTAATGTTGATTTGTAAAATATGATAGTTAAAAACAAGAATGTGACACGTGGAATTAGCCCAGCCACCGGAACAAATTGACTTTTTGACAAGCCTTATGCTAGGATAAGCCTAGTTTTGCATAACACTAGATTACAACTTCCAATGCTGGAAGGATATATGTGTATCTTATTCTTATGCAAAATTTGCATTACAATACTTATACACAAACTAACTTTTAAAAAACAGTTTATTATAATTAACGCTAAAAACATAATATTATTATAAAATAAATATTTAAATAATTAACTGAATACATGTACCTCTTCTTTGTGTACTTGTTGAATGGTTTTGTTAAGCTCATTCCCCTCAATCTCTACTACCCTTATTTCCTTCCACTTAAATTCAAACTCCGCCAAGCTCTTATAATTGACTTTGTATAACTTTGGTATGCTTAAAATTCCTTGAGAGAAAGACTTTATATTAGAACTATCTCCTATATTTAACTCTTCCAAAGATGGAAAATTAAAAGAGTAATTCCCAGAGCAAAAGCATGTAAGACTTTGTAAGTCTAGAAGTGACAACTCCTTCAAATTATCAAAAACAATTTCATTACTCGTTGTTGCATCTCCTTCTCCCTCATTTTTAACTATTTCAATCAACATTCCACAATCCTCTATGCTCATTGCTCTCAATTGCACCAAGTTTCTAGATGTTAAAGGTGTTATTAACTTCACCAAGTTTCTACATCCATGTACACATAGAACTTCAAGATCTGAAAGATTTGGAAAGAATAGCTCTTTGTATTTATTACACCAATATAGTTCAAGCTTATTCAGATTTTCAAATCCTTGAAGGAGTTGGAGTTGATTATTTGCTAACTCATCACCTTTGATCGTAAGAGCTTTAGATTGACTTTGCCATATAATCCTTTTCTTACCATTCTTTAATTCAAATACCTCCAAATCATGGTTGATCTACAAATCCATCGTAAAACAAAATCCAATTAGCTTTATAATTATATACTTAAAACAAAAGTTTAGTTATTGGTTCAAAAGTCATAGGCCAAACCCAATCAAATTTTGACAAATCAACTACAATCGATTTTAAAACTATTAAATTATATTTTATTAATATTTAATATTTAAAATCAATATTAAAATTTGCATTCAAAAACTATTTTTGTAAACTACAGATTAAATATACTTTTTTGTTTTTGTTTACATTATTTTGGAAAATAGAAACATGCTTTTCAAATGAATTTTATTTTTATTTAAATGAATTTAGATTATTCTTCAAAGGGCTACCATGAATCAAATTTGTGAACAAATGTTTCATTTATGTGATTTTACCAATTGCACCCCTTGAAACCGAAAAACTACTCAGCCACCACTAACTTGGAAAACTACAATATACATCTCCTCCTATTCTCTATTAAATTATTTGAATCTAATGGAAACGGCTACAGATGCAAATCATAGCCACAAATCGCATGGCTGTGGTGCAACCTTAGATTGTAGACATGATTGATGGCTATGACTTCAACCCCATTTTGCAACTGCGATCTAACGGTTGTAGGCACCACTACAACCACTTTCAATTTTTTTTTCACTTTTTCTGAATTATTTTAAGAATAATTTATAATGTTATTTTATTTTTTTAAACATTATAGAAATTAAATTAATATGAATTTCTTAAAAATTTTTTTTTTTTTTTCCCCAAATTCTATTATTTGAATTTTCAAATTTAGTATTTAATGGTTACAACTTTAAAAATATAATTTCAGATTTTGTACATATTTTTTTCTTTATATTTTCTAATTTTATCTTCTATTTTAGAAATATGCTTGTTTAATCTTTCCTTTTGGTATGAAATGTCAATTTTATCCTCCTTGACTATAAGTTGGACTTTGGACATTTACTTATTAAAGCTTCTAATGCAATTAATTAAAAAATGTGGCCTATAACATTATCAAATAGATGTGATAATTGAAAAGAAATCGGTACATAATTTATTGATAGTTACCTTAATATAATTTGATTCAAAATTTAATTGATTTATTACTCTTGGCCACCACCAAATCATTTTAAAATAATTTTGAATTTATGATCCCGTTTAGGAGGCTTTCAAGTTGCAAACTTTTTGTAAATAATTTCTTCAATAATAAAGTGAATCACCTGATAAACAAATTTCTAGTAAAATTAAAATTTCACTATTGATTTCTAGAATTATATCGGATGATTTATTTATTTATTTATTTTAAATCTAGTATGTAAATGAGTTTAAATGATAAGGTCCTAAAGCAAAATTGTTCAAATTAAATAACCATTAATTTTTCTAAATTTTCTTTCCAAGGAAAAATAGAGATGTTAAGAATTCTATAATTAAAGTTTTTGAAATAAATGTAATATATATGAAGTAAGTTAAATTTCTTTTTCAATAAAGAATGAAATAAAACATTCATACCTTATCGTCCAAGAAGAGAGATTTTGGCTCGGAAATATGAAGTTCACCCTCTTCAGCATTTTCTTGAAAGCCATATGTTTTGAAGTGAACTTCTCACATTTTATCACCACCAACTCTTTTAACATTGGCCATTTAGAAGTATGTATTCCAAGATAGAAAGTTGTAAGTTCTGGTAGATTTTGAAGCTTCAATAAGGTCACATTCGGAAAGACAAAATTGACAACTGCATTCGTTCCCTCCTCTTTTGCAACAATCTCTTCTAAAACTTCACAATTTTCAATCTTTAGTTGTTGGAGTTGGTGGAGGCTTTTGGCCAAGGAAGACAGAAATGCATATTTTATGTTTCTACAATTCCACAAGAACAAGTGTGTCAAATTTTGATAAAAGAAATTTGGATGTTGGTTGTAGCAAATCACTGTAGAATTGACATTATACTTCAAATCAAGGGAAATGTTCTGTAGTAAAAGTTAATAGTTGTTTCAATATAAAGTAATTAAAAAATAGTAATTATTGTTTTTAGTGGATTAGAAAAATGTATCTTTTTGTAACTCTTAATAATTTCTGAAAGGCCTAGCCCAAACTAAACAAATAATAATATAATAATGTCATTCCCTAACACAACTGTTTATTCAACTAAGGTCAATACTTAAAATTATCTTCTTGTCTTCTAAGTGTTATGCACTTGTATGGATAAACTAACAAAACTTGCTTTATCCTACTATGACTTGCAGTCTTGTAGCTAAAATATAATATTATTAAAATATATAAAAAATGCAAAAATAAGTAAATATTTAAACTAATTACTTTTAAACATACCTGTTTCTTGTATGCTCCTTGTATGCTTTTATTAAGATCATTTCCCTCATTCACTACTTCCTTTATTTTCTCCCACTGCCTGTTAGTCTTGTTGAAGCTCTCATATTTGACTTTGTGTAACTTTGGTGTGCTCAAGATTCCTTGAGAGATAGTCTTCATATTGGGCATTCTCCTATAGTTAACTCTTCCAAAGATGGGTAATTAAAAGAGTAATTCCTGGAGCAAAAACATATGAGAGTTTCTAACATTCTAAATAACAACTTCTTCAAATTTTTAAAAACAATTTCAGTACTCGTTGTTGCATCTCCCTCATTTTCTACTATTTCTATCACCATTTCACATCTCTCTATGCTCAGTTCTCTCGACTACACCAAGCTCCTAGCTGTTGAAGGTGTCATTAACTTCATCAACTCTCTACACTCTCTTACATTCAGAACTTTAACATTCTGGAAAAAAGCTAAGGATGGTCCTAGAGTGATCTGCATTTGTTTCTCATCCTTTCCACATGAGAACATTTCTTTGTATCCACAAGAATATAATTGAAGATTTTCTAGATTTTCAAATCTATAGAGGAGCCCAAGTGGAATATTTGCTGACTTATCATATATGATCTCAAGAGTTTTAAATTGACTCTCCCAAGTAATACGTGTCAACTTATTCTTTAAAGACAAATCCTCCAAATTAGAGTTGATCTACAAATCCATTGAAAAAAAATCTAATTAGCTTTTTAATCATTATTCGAATAATCTAAAAATCTATGGCTTCTAAACAATACCCAATTTCATTATAAATGAAGATTCATGGATCTTCAAAAGTAACAAATTAGATGATTGGTGAGAGAGAAGAATATGAAAAAGTGTTAAATCTCTTTTTGAAGGAAAATCTTAAAAAGTTAATTAATTTGATAATGTCATAGTCACATTCACCCCATGGTTTTTGTGAATCTCCTTGACATTATATCATTTTAAAGATTTGCTTCTTCTCTTATGTTTGTGGATTCTTTTAGATTTCGGGTTTGTTAATTGGGCCTAAGCCCATTTTGTTCCCTCCATTACCCTTGTTTCTTCATTACTACTTCTGTTGCGCTTTTCAAGTTTTTCTTTATATTTTAGTTATGAAACCATTGAAATTGGTTTAAATTAACTGTGAGAAGGACAAAGGGTTATTGCATATGATTCTTTAATTTACTTGTCAAATTAATTTCATAAAAGACACTACTATCCTATGAAAATTAAACATGTTCTAAACAAACTTATCTTTTTCTGGTGTGTATAGAAAAAAGGAGTCCATTTTTGTCATTCTCCCTATTATTATATGGGTATTTATATCTTATAATTTTTTCACTCTTAAATTTAATGGTAACTAACGTAATTTTGTCCTCTCACAGTGATCCTTCTTATGATTTTTTCCAATCATAAGAAGGATCACTGTAAGAGGGATAATGTTTTAAGAAACTATAAGAAAAAGAAGACAAGCTCCAAAATAGTTTTAAGAAGGGATAAAATGTTATTAGAGATAGTTAGATTTAACATTTTGTAAGGATATAATTTTATACAACTTTAAAATATTTTTAGTTGGAAAGTCAATTTATATAAACTAATAATAATTAAAAGATTTATTGTTTTTATAATAATTAAAAAAAAAAAAAGTAAATTAAGCAAGGGCCTTGGCCAGCTGCGCACCACTTGCAGGGCTAGCCATGTTGTGAGAGGAGAGATTTGGCAGCTGCAAATTGTGAGTAGAATGACTTTGGTTTTGGGGAAGTATTAGTTGATAATATCTGAAAATAAAATCATATTGATAATTTCTAGTAAATATTTGATCATTTCTAGAATTATACTGGATGATTTAAACATAGTACTTTAACGAGTTTAATTGACAAGACTCCAGGAACAAAATTGTCCAAATCCAATTGACCATTAATTTTTATTTCTTTTTTCTAAATTTTTGTTAAAAAAAAAAAGATGTTAAAAATCACATTATTAAGTTCTAATTTATGTAATACATATAAAATGAAGGCATTTTTTTTTTCTTTTTTTAATAAAGAAGTATACAAGAAACTCGTACCTTATGCTCCAAGCAAAGGGGTTTTGGCTCTGGGATATGAAGTGAATTTTCTTGGAAGCTTAGATATTTTGAAGTGAATTTTTCACATTTCTTGATCTCCAACCTTTTTAACATCGGCAACTCACAAGTATGTATTCCAGGATAAAAAGCTGCAAGTTTTGGCAAATTCTGAAGCTCCAAAAAGGTAACTTGTGGAAAGGCAAAATTAACATCTTTTGCTTCTTCTTCTTCCTCAACAATCTCCTCTAAAACCTCGCAATGCATTATCTCAAGGTGTTGTAGAGTCTGGAGGCTTTTGGCAATGGAAGATGGAAAGACATATTTTATTTTTCTACAACCCCACAAGATAAAGCTTGTCAAATTCTGATAGGAGGAAGACATAAGTGTTGGAAATTGGTTGTCCCAAATCTTTCCGAAACTAATTTTTTTCAATTCCAAGGCCTGCAAATTGGTGAAAATAACCTGCAATCAAAGTTAATTGTTGTTTCAATATTTACGAACTCATATGAAAAAAAATAATTGATTCTTATGGATTTATAGATGAATATGCCATTGCCATAAACAATGTGTCTTTTGTCTCTATAATAAGTAATGAAATTTAACATAAAATTAAAATCACTAGACAAAAACGCAAAAGAGAAGAACAAATAATTCAATATCAAAACTCTGTGTTAACAAATAAGAATAAGCATAAGAAAAGAGAAGAATATATAATAGAGAAGTGCAATAGGTTAATGTCAATCAAACCTTTTCGTTAAAAAGTGGCTTGAGATTGTTATCATCACCAAAAATTTTGACTAACCGTAAGAGTTCAACATTCTTGAGAATTTGTAATTGGTCTAAAGAGATGGCATAATCATATCGAAATTCAAACATTCTTGAAAATTCATACTGACCATAAATGTTGAGCTGTTGACATCCTATTGATATATTGCACCTTTTAAGCTCTCTAGAAAAGAAGTCTTTAGGCATTATCTTGTTATTTTCAATATATATTTCTAAACTGGTCAATTGAGATAAGTGCTTCAATTCCTTGAGTACTTCAACATTCCACTGAATACTACATCCTTTTATATACAATTCTTCCAGTTGGGATAGTTTTGATATCACATTTGGTGCAATAACTTCTAATTGCCAACAATTGCTCAAATATAAAATCTTTAACTCAGTCAATTGATCCATTTCTGTAGACAACTCCTCAATATTAGTATTTCGCAAACTAAGGACTTTAGCTTCTTAAGCTTTCCGACAATAGCAACATCTTCAATTTTGCTATCATCTAAACACAATGTTTGAAGGTTTGCTAGAAGATCAAGTGACGACGGCAACAACTGTTGTATTCTAAATAAATTTAGAACTTTTAGCTTTGGCATCATTGTGAAAAACTTCATAGAGATTTCGAAAGAAGAACCCCTAAGAAATTCAAGTTTTGGACAATCTAATGCTTCAGGCCAAAGTTGAGTAATAATATTATTACCAACTAAAGAGACAATTGTGCATTTTCTAAGTTTATCTTTATCCTTCCATTCCTTTTCAATGTCATTTCTCTCTGTAAATACATGATGATCTGTATATGCACATGTTAAAGCAACAATGCGAACAATGTCATGCATAGAAAATCTTCCTTCGGTTCTACCATCAAGTAACAAGCAAGAATCTTTGAGTTCCTTGACCACTGAATCCAGTCTATTCCGTGCTTGTTCTATTGTAAGGTTAGCTCCTTCAAGTATACCCAAACCAACGATATTCTTGAGAAAGTCTAAAATGGAAGTATCGTTTTCCATTAGACTAAGAATTATGAAAGTTTTCTTGAGCTCATCATATTCTAGATAATCGTATCTCAACTTAATTTTTGAATATTCCTTTTCTAAAAGTCTTGTGAACTTTGCTGGGGAAGGCGTTCTTAGTATTAGCAAAGCATCTTCCCATTGAGATTTTTGTCTCCTGTTCCTTAATGCCTTTGCTATAGTACAAATGACAATAGGCAAACCTCCACATTCTTTGCATACATCCTTTGGTAAAGAATTCAATCCAGGTGTTTGAATAACATTACCTGCACAAGAAGCTATGATTATACTAATTGCATTTACTATTCACATGCTTTTGGTTTAGAAACAAGAAAAGTTCCAAGTGTTGTTATTTTCCCTCGAGCTATCTTATTAGACTTTTTTCTAAACTGAACCATAAAAAAGTATATGAAATTCTAAATAAACTGCACTTAATTCCAAATAAAATTCCTTTCCACTCTTCATCTCTAAAATCATAGAAATACATTTTGTCGTATCAAGAGCTTTAAGACGATATTTATAGAAAAGAAAAATAAGGCGATGAGAAATGAGGAAATGTAAAATAAAGCTGCCAAGTCAATTCTCATTACTGTGAATTTAGGCTGAAAATAATTAACTAACGCCATCTAATAAAACTAATTCAAATATTAATGAATATACTTTAGATTTAAGTCAGAAAGTAATGTTTAGTCCATAACTATTATTTCCTGAGATTTCTGTTAACACTCAAGCCCTTTGAGGTTTTAGAAATAACAATTATACCCTGTTGACAGACAGCCATTATGAAACCCCGAAAAACTAGGGTGAAGGGTAGAGAAGTATATACTCAATGGTCGTCATCTGATTTGCTATGGTTGTTGTGGTGGTGGTCTAAAGGGTGGGTTGTGGTGTGGGTGCAATGGCGATGGTTGTGTTATGGATGCATTGGAGATGGCAATAATATGGAGGTGCTGTGGTGGTGCACGGGAGGCTAAGGGGTGTGACGAAGGTTGTCAGTGGCTACCGATAGGGGTGGGGCACAATGTGGGTGAGGTTTGTTACTACTGGGTTTTAGGAGGAGTGGAGGGTACGAAATTAAAAATGAGAAAGAAAAAAAAAAAAGTTAATTGAATTATTTTTCAAAAGAATCAGATTAAAAAATGAATAAAAAGAGAAAAAAAAAATAGATTACGAATTTAAAAGAAAAAAATTACGGTTATAAAATTACTTTAAAAAAAATCAGATTAAAATATGAATAAAAAGAAAAAGAAAAAAAATATGGTTATTAGATTTGAAAAAAAAAAAAATGAGAGATTAAAATAAAAATGAGTTACACTCAATCCCAGCCAAACCCCATCCAGCAGCTCCAACCTCTTCGCAACCAAAGAGTGTAGGTGATTTGTATGATAATCTTTCACTTTTTATGATTCTGGTTTATAATTATATGATTGTGGCTATTAATGGTGGTGGTGGGTGGGTTTGAAAAACTGGCGGTAGTGATGTCGTATGTATAGAAGGTTGTGATTTTTGAAGAGAGGGTAGTAAAGAAGCAGTGGTGATGTTCTGGGTATAGAAGGTTGTTTTCTTGTAAGTGATGGTAGCGGATTGGGGTGGTTGACAGTGACGAAAGACTTGTTGTGCGGTGGTGGCAACCTGTGGTTGATACTTGATATTAAGGACCTAACCAATACTTTCTAATTTTTACTGGTGGACCAAAATGGATTTGCCTCAGCAAAAAGAATTACAGGTTTTGTTAGAACTTAGTTAGAAAGATCAGGTCAAATAAAATGAGACAAGCTTGTAATTAAAAAATAGCCCTATGTTAGAATTGTTTCTGCATATGGAAATTAAACATAAAATTTAATTTTCAGAATATTTAATTAGAGAATAAATAAAACTGATGTCAAAGGAATTTTCAAAAAATAATAATAATAATAATAAAACTAAATTAGGTTTCTTGTTTTTAATGAGAGGTTACGGAGATTAGTCAATTTTGCCCCTAAGCCAGCACTATTATTCTGTCAATGGAGTAATTATACACATTTTGAAAATATTTCATGTTATTACTACTTTTAACTTTTTATTTATTCACGTTAAACCACAACACAAATTTTACGTGTCATCACATTAAAAAAAGTTACGATAATTACCTGCCATTTTCTTGAATAGGCTCCAAGCTTCTTCTTCATTTAAAATACCCATCCCGACATTTTTTGCAGAACCCATCTTCTCCAACACATCAACGTTTCTTATTGTCATCAATATTTTACTTCTTCCACAATCAGCTCCATAAGGAATTCCTACAATCTTCAAATCTAGCTCTTCCCAAATATTATCTACGATTAAAAGGATATTCCTCTTCTCAATTCTTGAATATAACTTACTTGCTCTTTGACTCTCATCTTCGATTGCATCATCGAATTTGACACCTAACTTGTTTGCAATTACTGTTTGAATTTTTTTTGTATCCGGAGTGTCTGTTACCTGCAAGAAAAAGAACCACAAAATAAACAAAATATAATAATAAAAAGAAAATCTTAAACTGATAACTATGCCTTTTTTTTAAAAAAAAAATATTCATCTACTAAAAAAATAGCATAATGACAAAGTAAACCTCAACAGATAAACTAAACTAAAATATATAAAATTATAAATAAACAACAAAAACAAGGATTTCTTCATAAAAACAAAGAAACAATATTCTATTGAATATTTTTTTCCCATTAATTAAACTTCCTTGTATAGATGCCTAAAGTTTAATTAATTTCACTCAAATAAAATTAATGATATAAATTAAATACTAATAATTATCACTCTAAATAAATATCCTAATATAATAAAGTGACACCCCTTAGTTTAAACATTACCTCAACAAAAACAATCGCATCAAAGAGCTTATCCATCTCGGCTTTCCTACCAATTTCCTGCACAAGAGTGGTCTTGCCTAGACGACCCATCCCATAAACACCCATCATGTATATCTTCTCATCTTTTAATGCCTCCCATACATTCTTCTCAGTGGAGTTTCTTGATTCGAATGCCAAATAATCTTCATTATATCTAAGCCATATCTCCTTGTGAATAGTAGGATGGGAAACTTTTTCGAATCTTTCTTCTTGCTGCAGGAGTGGACCGATATTATCCACCATTAATTCGGATGCTGCCTTGCTATTTTTGTAGCGGGTCTCGCGGTCAGTGCCAATTGAACTTTGGTTTTCAATCAACTCCTCTGCTTTAACGATGATAGAGTCAACATCCTCTAGCCACTTCTTCACATCCTCTTCAATCTCTTCCACGTTGTTTTTAGCCTCCTCAACCTTACGCTGCACTTTCCGTCTCGCATTCTTCAGCTTCAAAACATCATCTCCGAGCTTGTCAAAGTTATTCTCGTAGTCGGATTGTTGAATAGTTGAATAGGAAACTTTATGGAATCCTTCTTCTTGCTGCAGGAGTGGACCAATATCTTTCACCATTAATTCGAAAGCTGCCTTGCTATTTTGGTAGCGGGTCTTGCGGTCAGTGCCAATTGAACTTTGGTTTTTAATCAACTCCTCTGCTTTAACAATGATAGAGTCAACATCCTCTAGCCACTTCTTCACATCCTCTTCAATCTCTTCCTCGTTGTTTCTAGCCTCCTCAACCTTACGTTGCACTTTGCGTCTCGCATTCGTCAGCTTCAAAACATCATCTCCGAGCTTGTCAAAGTTCTTCTCGTAGTCGGATTGTTGAATAGTTGAATAGGAAACTTTATGGAATCTTTCTTCTTGCTGCAGGAGTGGACCAATATCTTCCACCATTAATTTGGAAGCTGCCTTGCTATTTTGGTAGCGGGTCTTGCGGTCAGTGCCAATTGAACTTTGGTTTTTAATCAACTCCTCTGCTTTTACAATGATCGAGTCAACATCCTCTAGCCACTTCTTCACATCCTCTTCAATCTCTTCCTCGTTGTTTCTAGCCTCCTCAACCTTACGCTGCACTTTAAGTCTTGCATTCGTCAGCTTCAAAACATCATCTCTGAGCTTGTCAAAGTTCTTCTCTGGTGGAACAGTAGGATAGGAAACTCTGTCGAACTTCTCTTCTTGCAGCAGGAGTGGACCAATATCATCCCGCTTTATTTTGAATGCCTTCTTGCTATGTTTGTAGCGGGTTTTCAAGTTGGGGCACAATCCCTTCAAACATCGGGGGTTGTTTGATTTATCTTGAATCAACCTCTCTGCTTGAACAACGGTCTTCTCCACATTATTCTGCCACTTCTTCACATTTCCTTCAATCTCTTCCACATTTCTTTCAGCAGGATCAACCTTACGCTCCACCCTGTCTTTCGCATCCTTCAGCCTAATAAGTTCTTCTTGGAGATTGTCAAAATTGGTATTGTAGTTGTACAAGTACTTAAATTGATGCCAAATCGGAGCAGCCACCCACGTGCCAGCTTGGAGAACAACACCCAAGACACTCGAAATATTCCCGGCAGGTTCCACCATTTTCAACCCTTTGTCAAGTTTGATAAACAGAAGACAGCGAAAGAAAATGACAATAAAACAGAAATAATAACAGGACAACTAGGGTGCAAACTCAAGTAACAGAACAAGAATATGGAAAAATGTTGGAAGATACATATATATATAATTTTTTGTAAACGAGAAATAAGGAAGAAAGGATTTTTTTTCTTTAAAAAAGAAAAAGGGAATGAGAGAGAAGTGAAAAGTCAAGCGATCTGACTTTAGTGTCGTCTGAAGAGGTGAGAGAGGTTTTTGAATGAAAGTATGTTTTAGTGATTTCTGAATGATTGTGAGAGAGAGAAGAAAACTAAAGAAGAAGTAGAAGAGAAACAACAATTGATTGTAACATCCATAGAAGTCCAAAAGAGCACTTGAGTTTACTGATTTTCCATCAACTTTTCTTTTAAGTTTCAATTGAATTTAAAAATGGAAACCCACCTACTTGAGCTGTTTCTGCTTAATATAATAATAGGACATATTAAAATATTGTTTAAGGAATCCTACATTTCTACTCTCAGATAACAATTTTCAGGGATAAATAAAAGAATTATGAGTTTTGATATAATAGCAATCTTCATTCTAACAATGAGTAATACTACACCAACAACCATTTTTCACAAACTTTCTCTCACAAGCCTGACATAGCAGTTCACAATTGGTCAACTTACAATTAATTAGTAAGACCTATGCGGTACTCATGTGAGACCCGTTGTGAGTTGACTAATTACGAGTTGACACGTCAAGGTTGTGAGAGAAAGTTTGTAAGAGAAGGTTGTTGGTATAGTATTATTCTTCTAACAATATATTACAAACAATCATTCAATTATGATTAGTGATTTTATTATTTTAATATTATACATTTAGTGAGGAATTAATTCTCATATAAGCTTTTTATAAAAATGCTATCAATTACATTCTTAAATTGAATAATTCAATAAAAAAATAATTACTATTTTTTAATATTGAAAAAAAATACCCTTTCAAAATGTATTGGGGCCCTTACCCTCTCCCCAAAATATTAGCCGATTGGGGTGTGTAGTGCCCACTCTTATAAGCCGAAGACCCATCCCTTACCTATTTGATGTGGAGCTAAACATATGTATATATTTAATTTCAAGTGTTGCAATTAATATTCATATAGATAATTATAAAAACTTTTGGTGGTATATGGGCTCTAACTCTAAGCATAAGCCCGCCATTGATCAAGACATAAAATATTTCTTGCATCAAATTATTTTTAAAATTGAATATGTTAAAAAAATTGCAATTTAAAAATATTTTAATACAATCCTTAAACCCCCGAGGTTTGTCCCAAGTTTAAAAATCCCCTGAGGTATCGGCATTAACTGAAAACCCCCTGTCATTGCTCATTTTTAGTTGGATTTCTTATTAAAAGGATGAATGACTTTAATACCCTCGTCGTCCTATCCTAACACCCCACTTCTTCATTAACATGCCCAGCAACTACCCTATCATGCCCCAAACCCTCCTCCCCCTATAAGCCACAACAACACCTCAACCACCATAGCCAGGAAGCCGCTCACCGCAACCATACTTGCACAAAATAAAATAAAAAACCATTCGGACTTTTCATCAAACATCTTCTATGCTTTTATAAACTCTCCTCTTGCTAACAACTTTCTACCTTTCTTATACCCACATAACATTATTACCAAATGAAAAAAACATAGAAATACATTTTGTCGTATCAAGAGCTTAAGACGATATTTATAGAAAAGAAAAATAAGGGATGAGAAATGAGGAAATGTAAAATAAAGCTGCCAAGTCAATTCTCATTACTGTGAATTAGGCTGAAAATAATTAACTAACGCCATTAATAAAACTAATTCAAATATTAATGAATATACTAGATTTAAGTCAGAAAGTAATGTTTAGTCCCTAACTATATTCCTGAGATTTCTGTTAACACTCAAGCCCTTTGAGGTTTTAGAAATAACATTATACCCCGTTGACAGACAGCCATATGAAACCCCGAAAAACTAGGGTGAAGGGTAGAGAAGTATATACTCAATGGTCGTCATCTGATTTGCTATGGTTGTTGTGGTGGTGGTCTAAAGGGTGGGTTGTGGTGTGGGTGCATGGCGATGGTTGTGTTATGGATGCATTGAGATGGCAATAATATGGAGGTGCTGTGGTGGTGCACGGGAGGCTAAGGGGTGTGACGAAGGTTGTCAGTGGCTACGATAGGGGTGGGGCACAATGTGGGTTAGGTTGTTACTACTGGGTTTTAGGAGGAGGTGGAGGGTACGAAATAAAAATGAGAGAAAGAAAAAAAAAAAAGTTAATTGAATATTTTTCAAAAGAATCAGATTAAAAAATGAATAAAAGAGAAAAAAAAAAATAGATTACGAATTTAAAAGAAAAAATTACGGTTAAAATTACTTTAAAAAAAACAGATTAAAAATGAATAAAAGAAAAAAGAAAAAAAAAATGGATTAGATTTGAAAAAAAAAAAAATGAGATTAAATAAAAATGGTTACACTCAATCCCAGCCAAACCCCATCCAGCAGCTCCAACCTCTTCGCAACCAAAGAGTGTAGGTGATTTGTATGATAATCTTTCACTTTTATGATTCTGGTTTATAATTATATGATTGTGGCTATTAATGGTGGTGGTGGGTGGGTTTGAAAAACTGCGGTAGTGATGTCGTTGTATGAAGGTTGTGATTTTTGAGAGAGGGTAGTAAAGAAGCAGTGGTGATGTTCTGGGTATAGAAGGTTGTTTTTTGTAAGTGATGGTAGCGGATTGGGGTGGTTGACAGTGACGAAAGACTTGTGTGCGGTGGTGGCAACTGTGGTTGATATTGATAAAGGACCAACCATACTTTCTAATTTTTACTGGTGGACCAAAATGGATTTGCCTCAGCAAAAAGAATTACAGGTTTGTTAGAACTTAGTTAGAAAGATCAGGTCAAATAAAATGAGACAAGCTTGTAATTAAAAAAAGCTATGTTAGAATGTTTCTGCATATGGAAATTAAACATAAAATTTAATTTTCAGAAATTTAATTAGAGAATAAATAAAACTGATGTCAAAGGATTTCAAAAAATAATAATAATAATATAAAAACTAAATTAGGTTCTTGTTTTAATGAGAGGTTACGGGATAGTCAATTTTGCCCCTAAGCCAGCACTATATTCTGTCAATGGAGTAATTATACACATTTTGAAAATATTTCATGTTTTACTACTTTTAACTTTATTTATTCACGTTAAACCACAACACAAATTTACGTGTCATCACATTAAAAAAGTACGATAATTACCTGCCATTTTCTTGAATAGGCTCCAAGCTTCTTCTCATTTAAAATACCCATCCCGACATTTTTTGCAGAACCCATCTTCTCCAACACATCAACGTTTCTTATTGTCATCAATATTTTACTTCTTCCACATCAGCTCCATAAGGAATTCTACAATCTTCAAATCTAGCTCTTCACATATTATCTACGATTAAAAGAATTCCTTTCTCAATTCTTGAATATATTACTTGCTCTTTGACTCTCATCTTCTGATTGCATCATCGAATTTGACACCTAACTGTTTGCAATACTGTTTGAATTTTTTTTATACGGAGTGTCTGTTACCTGCAAGAAAAGACCACAAAATAAACAAATATAATAATAAAAAGAAAATCTAAACTGATAACTATGCCTTTTTTAAAAAAAAAATATTCATTACTAAAAAAAATAGCATAATGACAAAGAAACCTCAACAGATAAACTAAACTAAATATAAATTATAATAAACAACAAAAACAGGATTTCTTCATAAAAACAAAGAAACAATATTCTATTTAATATTTTTTCCCATTAATTAAACTTCCTTGTATAGATGCCTAAAGTTTAATTAATTTCACTCAAATAAAATTAATGATATAATTAAATACTAATAATTATCACTCTAAATAAATATCCTATATAATAAGTGACACCCCTGTTTAAAAATTATCCACAAAAACAATCGCATCAAAGAGTTATCCATCTCGGCTTTCCTACCATTTCTGCACAAGAGTGGTCTTGCCTAGACGACCCATCCCATAAACACATCATGTATATCTTCTCATCTTTATGCCTCCCATACATTCTTCTCAGTGGAGTTTCTTGATTCGAATGCCAAATTATTTATATCTAAGCCATATCTCCTTGTGAATAGTAGGATGGGAACTTTTCGAATCTTTCTTTTGCTGCAGGAGTGGACCGATATATCCACCATTAATTCGGATGCTGCGTTGCTGTTTTTGTAGCGGGCTCGTGTGCCGTGCCGATTGAACTTTGGTTTTAATCAACTCTCTGCTTTAACGATGATAGAGTCAAAATCCTCTAGCCACTTCTTCACATCTCTTCAATCTCTCCACGTTGTTTTTATCCTCAACCTTACGCTGCACTTCCGTCTCGCATTCTTCAGCTTCAAACATCATCTCCGAGCTTGTCAAGTTATTCGTTATCGGATTGTTGAATAGTTGAATAGGAAACTTTATGGATCCTTCTTCTTGCTGCAGGAGGGGACCAATATCTTTCACCATTAATTCGAAAGCTGCCTGCTATTTTGGTAGCGGGTCTTGCGGTCAGTGCCAATTGAACTTTGGTTTTTAATCAACTCTCTGCTTTAACAATGATAGAGTCAACATCCTCTAGCCACTTCTTCACATCTCTTCAATCTCTTCCTCGTTGTTTCTAGCTCCTCAACCTTACGTTGCACTTTGCGTCTCGCATTCGTCAGCTTCAAAAATCATTATATTCCTTTTCCAGTAATCCTATGAACTTTGCCGGTGAAGGCGCTTTTAATTCTCGCAAGGCAACTTTCCAATCAGATGGACGACGCTTGCTCTTTAATGCTTTTGCTATAGTACAAATGACAATAGGCAAGCCTCCACATTCCTTACATACTTCTTGTGGCAAAGAATTCAATTCACAGGTTGGAATTTCACCACCTGCACACGAAGCTAGGATTATACTAATTG